TTGTGCAGTTGCTGAAGAAATCGGCCATCGTTTCACGAAATGTAAGCTGAAATACAATTCATCTGCAGTAGTACCTGTGAAAGTTGCTCATATTGCACCAAACCACAAGCAAGCTACGAGCTTGAGGCCACGAATATTTAGCAGAGAAAATGTATTTAATCAATATCACAGTCGTCATACTGATGAAGTCAAGCTGCGGTGCTGAATGGGAATACATGACTTAATCAGCCGAAACTTAATGCCTTGGTGTAATTTTATATTTTTATATATGTCATAACTAAAAACTCTATTGCGGGAAACGCCGGAACGAAAGCTTGCCTGTCCGGCGATGTAGCGCCCGAAGCCCTCCGGATAAGTGAGTGCTCCGACGACCAGTGCCATGAAGATCGTAAATGTAAAGAAACTGCAACAGAATGCGCATCAGTGAAGTCACAAATGGATACTGGAAAAACGTCACTCAGCCACACATACACACATTTATACGCTTAAACATACATAGATATGCATGCAGATACACACAAACATGCAAAAACACACATACACATAAATAGAGATCTCTGTTTAGGATAATGCATACTCAAATTTTCACAGACACAAATAAGCACAGAAAAGATAATATACCGTACTTTGATCTTCTAGCTCCAACCATTCACGGCGAAATTACCAGCGGCTGAATGCCATTTACTTAGCCCTCCAGTTTCAGACATACAGTAACGGAAAGGGAGTGGGAAACGGAAGTGAAGAAGGAAATCGGAGGGACTGAAGGAGAATACAAGCGAGCCGCGAGGAGTTTCATCTGGGTGAAGCCCTAGGCAGGACGTCCAACATTTCCTTTCTTTTCATAAGTGGTGGCCTTCCTGCCAATTTCATAAATTATTTGAGGAAAAGTCCAAGCTGTCTGCCCAAAACTGTACAGATTTGAGTATTTAAATCCGTACAGCCTTGTTAAATCTATGTAGTCCAACCTAGCTAAGACTACTTTAAGTCTGCCAGCTAAATCCGTACAGTTCCTTTTTGTCAAATACAAGATAAGAAACAGGCCCATTCGTAGTAGCAGTACAAATTTGCCGCTGCAGTATTCAAGGTGAAGCTTACTTTTCGCGAAAAATCATATGATAGATTCGAGAATTCTGTCGAAACAGCGTGATTCGCTTGTGTGTAAAAATAAACAGCGCAGCAAATAAGCCACCAAGCAGCCTGCAAGTTGTAAGTACACGAAACAGCTTATGAAAATGGCTCATGTAACATTAAGCGCTCACTGAACCTCACTTCTAACGTTTCATCAAAAAGCCGAGATGCAAATCTCCGTCGAACTACATTGTCTGACCAGGTAATTAGACCACACGCCTCTGTGCTGCACTGTCCAGCAGCTGGAAGTCGGAAGCAACCATATAAAAACTTACCCTAAAGCTGCGAATACTGGTAATTCTTCCACCAAAAAGGACTCTGTCGGTATACTTGTTTGATAGAACGCTGTTATTACGCCTGAAAAGCTATCCGCTTAAGTAAAAACAAGCAAAGGAGCTATGAAGCAAATTTTTCAGGGAAGCTTCGGTGTTTCGAATTTTTTTCTTCTACTTTAAAAAAAGGAGTATTCAAATTGAAAAATACCATATTTTTGGAACTCAGGCAAAATGCAGTTTGAGCAAAATACCGATCAAACATTTTCAGTTTCACTACCAAATTTCTTGAAACGGTTCAACTGCAAGATCGCGCATTTATATGAGTAAAGGTACTGAAGTGATTTCCGGCCTTTTTGAAAGTTGGAGTCAAGACAATGTAAGCTTTTCCTTTTAACAGTCACCCCTTAACCGCACAAAAAGACCGGGTCAAAAGCGTTATTTTTATGATGTTCCACTTTCTTCGTGCCCGACTACCCGAGTACTGAAAGCAAGTGAACTCACCGGACTGCTCAGCAGTAACAAAAAAATTGGCAAAACGAAAAACAATAGCACTGCAGGTGGCTGCTAGAAATCCACGCCAATAATTTTTAACAGCAAAATATTTCGATGTCGATTCGATAGCATACAGCACTGCTGCAAATCTGCACTAATCACAGATGAAATTTTAACTGAGCTACATGAAATTCATATTGTCATACAGGCATCCGTACATGCCGGGCCAACTAAACAATCAATATGGTGATCCCATGTCTTTTGCCCAGATAAATATGTAATATTTTTTATTTTCTATTGTACTTTCTAGTATTGTTTAATATTTACTATTCAGACAGTTCAGGTTAGCCATCATTATCATAAGCTAATGCATTTTTGAGTCCACATAAATGTAAGCGTGTAGTGTAAAGCGGTACACGAGCTTCATCTGGAATGACCTGGTTATTTGAGTTCGGATCACACAAACGCCATGACTTTTAGCATAAAAATATAAATTGCAGGTGCAATCACTTCTACTAATACCTCCAACAGGAGCTGAGAATGTGCATGCGATGCCAACAGCACAGCCGGATGAAAGCATTTCCATTTCGCGACCTTCGTTTGAAAAAAATGCTGTGTACTGGCAGCTAGTGGTCACTTTGCTTAGAATTGTCGCTACAATCGCTCCCATATGCACAAATGGCCCCTCAAACAGTTCTTCGATAAACAGTACAGTGAGGCAAAAAGTTTGCAAGAACAAGCTTTTTTTAGTGAGAGCGTGGCCTACAGTAACCTGTACATTTTAAGAAAAAACAAAATCTTGGGCATACACAATTCGTTTTATTTATGATTTACCAGCCTTGGGAATAGTCACAAGGCAAGTATACAATTGAATCCAAATTATAATAATGTTAGTGATAGTAATGAAAATTATATTTATGATGATAGCAATAATAACAATAATAATATGATGATGATGACGGCAATAATAACAATAATAATAACATTAATAATAAAAATAACAATAATAGGAACAAACAATAGTAGCTTTTGTTGTTTTTGAGCTAAAATAAACCGATATACAGAAATCCA